GCCTAGGGGCTGCCTCCCCGCTGTCCCCAAAGCCACCATCACACCTCCACTCTGTCCCCAAAGCCACCGTCACACCTCCTCGCTGTGTCCCTGCTGTCCCCAAAACCACCACCACGTCCACCTGCTGAGGGGCTGTATCACCACTGTCCCCAAAGCCACCATCATACATCCCTGCTGTGTCCTCTCTGTCCCCAAAGCCACTGTCACACCTCCACCCTGTCCCCAAAGCCACCACCACATCCCCCCACTGTGTCCCCAGTGTCTCCAGAACCACCATCACATTCCCCTACTGAGCCCACCCTTGTCTCCAAAGTCACCATCGCATCCCTCACTGAGGAGCTGTATCCTCTCTGTCCCCCAAACAACCATCGCAACCCCCCCAACCGCATCTCATCTGTCCTCAAAGCCACCATCACATCCCCCTGCTGGGTCCTCTCTGTCCCCAAAGCTATTGTCAGCCCCCCACCGCAGAGGGGCTGTGTCCCTGCCAGGCTTGGCCACCCTTACCTGGGTAGTGGCACAGCTCTTCCACACTGCAGTGCTCATTTTCACTCCTGTTTTGCAACAGAAAATTGCGTACACCAGGACAGTCGCGAGGGAAAATAGGCGCAATGTGAAGCAGATGAGAGAGTAAATCATAAAACCGTCGTACATGTTCTGCATACTGCAAACGAGGAGCTAATTTCCTGGCAGCCGTCTTCAGGATGCTTCAAGTCAGTCTTCGCCAATGTGGCCCTTAAAAACCTCGCAGACTTTGGCTGCGAGCAACACCACTCATTTCTGACTTTAGCATCTGATTCCCACAAATATAATTTAATTATGCATTTTGTTAGGGTGAACTGAAAACACCCAGCAGCTACCGGATCACTGAAGAAAACAAAGTCAATCACTTTTTTAAAAAAATAAATCATCATTTTATGAGGTTCGGCGACATTTGCTACATTTTGTCAAGCGTGATCTCAACCAAAAGCAGAAAGAAGCAGCCGAGGGTTGTTTATTGCACACAGAGTGGCCCTCCCTGAGAGCAGCACTAATGGAAATGACTGTAATAAAACCACCGGTGTTCACGGTCTGAGCAGCAAAGCGGGAGCCCTGATGTCTGCACCCTGTTCTGACAACCACTTCCCCAGTGACCAGGAGCAGATCGCTTCGCCTCTCTTCCTAGTTACCATCACTGATTCATAGCTGAGATCAATTAGTTAATGTTTGCAAAGTCAGTTGAAGATGAAAAAGCATTCCATGCTGCTAATAAAACCATAATGATCCCACTCTTAAACATTAAACACACAATGATGTGTAAAAAAAAATAAAAATCACATTTATGGAAAATTTCTCTTCCTGCAAGGACAAAGGATTAGCTCCTAAAAAGGAAGGATGAGCTCAAATTCGCATCACAGGATTGTGTCTCAGGGGTCTGGCTTCTGTTTATGTCTCTGCTACTGATTATCTGTATGGCCATGGGCACATCCCTTGGGCCAGCAGTTGAAGGTGGCAACTTAATCCAGAACTAGCCCAAAATCACAAGACACTTTTGGAAAATGCTGGTCCTGGTCATTTTGTGCCTCCGCTTCCAAGTCTGCTAAAAGGGATGTGGGCTGCAGCTGCATAGCCTGGTTTTCGTAGGCAAGATAATACAGCAGTGAGCAAATCCTGGCAACATGATTCTTAAAAGCCAGGAGAGCTGTGCTGCCTGTGAGAGACTCACATCACACCACAGCGTGAGGAATAAAAGCGGGTGTGTGGGACTTTCTAGGAGGTTTTTCTTGGCAATGAGTCTCACTTTAGACGTAAAACTGGTAGCTGTGCCACTGGTAGGGCTCCGGGTCGCTGTATGTAGAGCAACGCATGTCTGATGCTCTGACCTACAGGCAAGAAGGAGGAGAGGAACCAGGAAAACCACGTTTGTCTGCACCTTTGGGCCTGCACAGGGTCACATTCATGGTGATGAGGCACCGGTGTTTCTGGCAGGGCAGAAGCCATGGGTGGGGATTTGCACAAGAGCTCCAGGCAGTTTAGGATTTGGCACAGCGATCTCAGAAAGAACTCCTCTCCAAAAAGAGCAGGCCTTTGACAAGGTAACCCTCATTTCCTCAGCTGAACTGCCCTTTGCAAGGAGCAACCCTGAGCTGCAACAGCCTATTGCACCTTCCTCCTGAAATCTGATGCTACCCTGCTTTGATGGTGTCCTGGTTTAAGCCCAGCCAGCAACTAAGCACCACGCAGCCGCTCACTCACTCCCCCCTACCCAGTGGGATGGGGGAGAGAATCGCAAAAAAAGAAGTAAAACTCATGGGTTGAGATAAGAACAGTTTAATAGAACAGAAAGGAAGACAATAATAATGAAGATAATAACAACAATAAAATGACAATAATAATAATAATAATAATAATAATAAAAGAATTGGCATATACAAAACAAGTGATGCACAATGCAATTGCTCACTACTCGCTGGCCAATGCCCAGTTAGTTCCCGAGCAGTGATCCCCCCCTCCCAGGCCAACTCCCCTCAATTTATATGCTAGGCATGATGTCACATGGTATGGAATATTCCTTTGGCCGGTGTTCTGTCTGTGTCCCCTCCCAACTTCTTGTGCCCCTCCAGCCTTCTTGCTGGCTGGGCATGAGAAGCTGGAAAACCCTTGACTGAGTATAAACACTATTTAGCCACAACTGAAAACATCAGTGTGTTATCAACATTCTTCTCATACTGAACCCAAAACATAACACTATACCAGCTACTAGAAAGAAAATTAACTCTATCCCAGCTGAAACCAGGACAGATGGCGATCAGTTGCTGACTGCAGAAAAGCTGAATCATGAAACAGAGGTTATAAACAAGGTTATTTTTAACGAAGGAAACAAATCCCACACCATGCAGGTCGGAGCAAGGGACTGTCAGCTAGGGCTTGCAGGTCTCACTCCTGCCCCAATATTCTCTATGTCCTGAAGCAAATTACAATCTCTCTAACCTTTAATTTACCTGCTTGTAACATGGACAAAGCAGCAGGCTCCAGTTGTGCTTTCTTTGTACAGCAAAGCTCCTGGTGTGACAGTAAAGCAGTGCTGGGAGCCGCACGATGCCAGGGGCTGGCTTGCACTGTTGCCCGGCACCTTGCAGAGCTATTTTCAGCCATGCAAAATGCTCACACGCAGTATTTCAACAGTGTTCATAAACGTTTTGAATGCAGAGAGAGACTACCCAGTCTGATTCCCCTCTCCCATATTTCACAGTCCTACATTTCAATTCCCACATGCTGGAATTCCCACATGCCCAGTAACTTCTGCTTCATTTTTCTCACTGAAAACTCAAAATAGACAAGTTTTGTAGCCCAGAGTCTCCTGTTACATCCTTCAGGCACCGGCGTGCTGCAGGGTGTCTGTTGTACCCAGCCCAGAGGGAGGGAAGATGAGTCTGGTACACCAACAGCTAACTGGGAAATTTCCTGATTATGCCACTTCTTATCTCACACTTAAATTCTTCCCAGAAAAGCATATTACACTTTCCCCAGGAAAGATCCCTCAACTCAGGGAAGCAGGGGACTTGTGACTGGCCAGGCTTACACACGCTGCCTGAGAAATACGAACAACCCCACATACAGATCCTTGCAAACCTGCCTTCTCTGCTCCATGCCCAAGGTAACAAGTGCTTTGGGTGTGTCCAACTTTACATAGAAATCTACTAAGGTTAAAGAACCCTAGCTTTTTTGAAAATATTTTTAAATATATATATACACACACCGACACAAATT